GCTCCCTTTGCTCACGTTTCGTTCAGGGGACCACCACGTTGATGTGTCGGTTGTACACGTATCCTTTGTTGGCCAGGTGGAGAACCACCAACTGCGTCAGTGGCCATGGTATCGCTGTGCTGGAAGTGGGGCGAGTGATGTGTGCAGGAATGGCCCTACGGGCTAGTGCTCATGGGGAGGTTTCACCAGTGTCTAGCCCGGATCCTGGTTTGCCGGCAGTCATGTGCAAGGTGGACAGAGGATTGCAAGTGAAGGTCCGGGGGACAAGTAGTGTGACGCATCCCTGACAGCGGAGAGGCAGCTGGGGACAGCCCCGGGGACGCAGGCCCGGCGGATGCCGAGGGAGGGTGTCAGGCAGAACAGGCCATTGCCGTTGCTTCCTGAGCTGCCCTGGAGACGTGGAAAAGGCAGCTCATACCTTTGGCCAGATGCCAGATAATCTTTTAGGGCCGTTGAACCTTGACAGGGCCTGGCTCCCTTTGGAGGCCATGAAGACAAGGGGCTCCCATGCCACCACCCTGACATCCCGCTGGCCCACACATCACTGGTGCCTTAGCCTTCCTGGGTGCTTCCGCAGAGTGCCTCCCTCTTGTAGGAGCTACACGGCTGGCCAGAGGCTGGCAAAGCAGAGCGCCTGCTTGCACCGCCCCGTGCTCCACTCTGAGTTTGGAAAAGTCATCTTCAAGTCTGCCAGCACCTTCAGCTCCTCTGCATGCTAATCCAGCGTCCTGGTCTTACCAAGTTCCGTGGGGGGAAGGGAGGAGACGAGGCTGGCTCAGCCTGGCCTGGCCTGAGCGTGCAGGGCTGGCGCCCGTTGCCTTATATGACAGTGGCTGGGATGGCTTCAACGGCCTGTGCGTCCTCCTCTCCCCGCCTGGTTGGAGTTCTGGGGAGGCCTTGCCGACGGGGGCAGGGCAACCTCTGGGGGGAGGAAGAGCCAGGGCCAGCCTCAGCCACCCCCACCCCTCTGCTTGTGCCCTGCCCAGTTTGGGTGGTGCGTGGGGGCGGGCGAGTCTTCTTTCTCTCCATTTGTAAACTGAAAAAGTGGGCCTGCCCCCTGTCCTGGTGTGTGTGTGTGTTGGGGGAGGGGGGGCCACTGGGAAAGCAGGGACTGTGTGTACAAGCAGGCAGGGCCACTAGGATGAAAGGCAGTGGGCGGGCGGCGGGGTGGGGGGATGGGGTGGGGGTGGGGCGTGCCGCTCTCAGATGTGGGTTTCTTTTCTTCTATTCACCCCTTTGCTGCTTTTTCTAGAGCTTTTCTTCCTTTCTGGATTGCAGCCCTGTCCTGACCCACCCGGCCCGCCTCTCCGCTTCTGGAGCCACCCCCCAGCCCTGCCAGTTCCCTCCCCGCCAGGTTGGCGGGCGAAGGCGCTCCCGCGAAGGCAGGCCTCGGGTGTGGGATTAATGAAGCCCAGATGTAGGACTTGTGACTCTGGCTGCAGAGCAGTGGCCACGGAGGGGCCATTTACCTCCCACTGTGTCAGGGCCCAGCTGCTGCAGGGGCTCCCGGGGAACAGCTGGAAAGCAGGTCCGGGCTGCCAGTGAGGCAGGGGGAGGCGGCAGAGGAGAGATGCGCAGGGTGGGGCTCTTGGGGAGGAGTGGGGTCTAGCCTGCACCCACAGAGGTCTGGAGAGGGTGCTGTGGGTCCAGGGGGCAGCAGGGATGAGGGGCTCCATGGGCATGCCTCTGCTCGGAACTCTACCTCTGCTCTAGGGAAGGTGGAGGGGGTGCAAGGCGTAGAAAGGAGTCCGGGCGACAGGGAAACAGCCCGAGAGAAAGCCCCGCACTGGTTGATGCCAGATCTTCCAGGCCAGACCTGGAAGGGGTGATGGTCGGTCACTCTCAGGGCTACCAGACGGATATCACGTGTTACAGAGAGCAGATATCACATGAGACAAACTTAGGCTAAAAAAAAAAAAAGGAAGGAAAAAAGAAACGTTTTAGTTTGTCTGCAATTCAACTGTAACTAGACATTCTATATTTTGATTTGCTCCATCGAGAAATCTCCCTCCCTCTGCAACTGAATTTCATTCCTTTTCTTTTTTTAAACATTTATTTATCTGAGAAGCAGAGAACCTGCCTCCTTAGCGCAGTAGGCAGCGCGTCAGTCTCATAATCTGAAGGTCCTGAGTTCGATCCTCAGAGGAGGCAGTTTGGTTTTACTTATGAAATTTGTATTCATTAAATAAAAAGGTTTCTTTGGGGAAAAAAAATAAAGGGAGAGACAGAGAGAAGTCTTCCATGTGCTGATTCACTCCCCAAGTGGCCACAATGTCTGGATCTGGGCCAGACCAGAGCCACGAGCGTGGGTGGCAGGGGCCCAAGCACTTGGGCCATCTTCCGCTGCTTTCCCAGGCACGTCAGCAGGGAGCTGGATCAAAAGGAGATTGGCCAAGACTCGAACTGGCGCCCTTATGGGATGCCAGCATCACAGGCTGCGGTTTAGCCCACCATGCCACGTCACAGCCCCCTGAGTTGCTTTTCTAAGCGACAAACAGAACAGCGCACAGACCATTCAGCGTGGGGCTCCGTGGGCTCACATGAAACCAGCATCCAGATGGAGAAGGAGAACGTGTCCAAAGCTGCCCTCCTCCCGCTGCCCAGGGTCATAGGTTTCTCGGCTCCCAGCAGCCGCGATAAGCCCGTTCTTGTGCATGATAGAAGTGAAAACCTACACATCTATTCCTTGTATCTCCCCGCGCTCCATGAATGTTGTCCCTGTGAGGTGCTTGGGGTGCAGTCACAGTCACCCTCCGTGGGACTGAGCTGGACACGCATGGCCCAGTCTGCTCACCCACTGTGAATCTGCCCTCGTGAGCACCATGGGGTCTCTGGTTCTCGTTTCTGCGTGCCTGAGAGGACTGCTGGGTCATGGGGTAGGCTGGCTTCAGTTTTGGGGAACAGGTGTGTCCACTGGCATTCCCACCAGCGGGGTGTGACTGCCTGCGCCTTCCCTGACACTGGCAATTGCCTCTTCTGCACTTTAACCCTCCTGGTACGTGGTTGGTATACCCTTTCTGCTTTCTCTAGTTTTAGTTTGTTTGTTTGTTTGTTTGTTTTTTATGTATATAAAGATTTGTTTATTTAAAAGGCAAAGAGAGAGAGAGAGGAGGAGATAAAGATCTTCCATCCACTGGTTCACTCCCCAGAGGGCCACAACATGGGTTGGGCCATGCTGAGGCCAGGAGCCCGGAGCTCCATCCAGGTCTCCCACATGGGTGCAGGAGCCCAAGCGCTCAGGCCATCCTGCGCTGCTTTCCCAGGCACATGAGCAGGGACCTGGATCGAAAGTGGAGCAGCCGGGACTCGAACCAGTGTCCACATGGGATGCCGGTGCCATAGGCAGCAGCTTAACTGACTAGGCCGCAGCGCCGGGCCATTTTCTCTATTTTTAGTTCAAGAGCCCCTTCCTCTGACTTTCTTGACCATTCCCTAAGAAAATGAACAGCAGCTTTAAGAGACACAACCTAGGGTCTCTGAACCTGCGTCGCTCAGCTACACCAGGACTTCAGGGAATCCACTGTGGCCCCGCGTGGGGAAAACTGCGGAGGCTTCAGCGCCAGCCGGGACGTGACAGGGCTCAGCCCCTCCCGCCCTGAAGGCCTTCCCAGGGAAGCATCATTACCCGGGTCTCCCCTCCTGCCTCTAGCTGTGCCTCGTGTCGGGTCCCTCTGTTCCTTACGGTGTCCAGGCAGGGCCGCGGCTGAGGGCGGGGTGTCGTCAGCTGAGGGCGTGTCTCCCCGCGTCGCTGAATCCACGTGTTTCCCATCGTGTTCCAGCTTCCACACCTCTCCTGAGCTTCCCTGGCGCTGCCTTTCTCAGGAATTAAGGGCTGTGGCCGCATCAGAGTCCTCGCCAGCTGTTTCCTATGGGGGTCAACAGCAGGTGGGGGTGCCAGGATTGCAGCCTCCGCGGTGGAGACAGACTGTGGCTTGGGATGCAGCGGCTGTGGCCCCGGGAGCTCAGACAGGGGAGGAGCTTGTCCCGCTGCGTGTCCCCTGGTCACATCAGCCCTCTCCAGCCCCCTGGCACCGCAGCCCCATCCTCCAGTCTCTACTTCTCTCCTCTCTTCTTTTTTTCACTCACCCTGTCGCTCAAGGACCCATGTTAGTTGGAGGCCCAAACCTTAGGGTCTGAGGACCCAACAATGGCTCATTCCTGAGGAGAAGGTGTTAGGTCCGGGTGGCGCAGCGTGGTGGCTGCACGCAGAAGCCCACTCCAGCTGACTGAAGCCACAGGGGCTGTTCTGGCTCAATCAGGCTCACCCACCACATGGTGCAGGGCCCGTGGCACGTTCCCAGGACCCTGGCTCCGTCCCCCTGCAGCTGCTGGCCTCCCTGGCACTTCCTCTTCTGGGCTTTCACACCAGGAAGGCAGGATGGCCACAGCAGCTGCGGGGTAGCTGCGTAAGTGGCCCTGCTTGCCTGCCTGCCTGCCTGGACCTTAGCACGTACTCTTGATAATTCAACAAGGCCCTGAGGCCACCGCTCAGCAGCTGACTGGGTCACCCCGGGCCTACCCCGGCGGGCCAGGTTGGGGTGGGGTGAGGGGAGAGGTTCTTGGAAGGAGAGGTCACTGGATGATGGGTGAAGACAGCCAAGGGTGGCCTCCCCAGGCCAGGTGCCCCACCTGCTCAAAGCTGAGGAGCCCCGCGGGGGAGGACGCCCCAGGGATGCAAAATGGGTTTTTCTTCTTCATTGTTCTCCCCTTCTCTCTATGTGTACCTTTTTCGCTTTGGCTGTCCCCCCTGCCTGTTTTCCCTGTCCGTCTATCTATACATCGCTGACACATAATCTGAGAGTACACAAGCAAGAATGTTGAACTTTGCCTGGACGGCCCCGTGGCTAGGAATGGGTGACCGTGGGGGGTGGGGGTGCCGCTGGGAAGAAGAGTGCAGTCCCTTGTCCAAGGCAGGGCCCCCCACCCCCACCACAGCCCAGCCCCCACTCAGCTTGCTCCCCCCTCCCCTCACTGAGGCTTTCTCACTCCTTCCCTCCCAGGCAGCTCCGAAGCCGGCTCAGCCTCATGGTCATCGCCCGGATGCTGGGCCAGCAAGAGGCGCTCCCTGTCTGGCAAGAGAAGACCCAGGTGAGTCTGTGCCCGGCACAGGCAGGGCCTGGGGTTGGAGACTGCCCTCACCAGGGCCTGCTGGCTCCTCAGGCTGCTCCCTCCGACTCTAGGGAGCCTCTGCCCAGAGTGCCAAACTGCGTTTGAGCTTTGTACTCAAGGTCTTGCCTTCAACAGCGACACACAAGGTGCTGAGGATGGAGCCAGGAGCGGGGGCCTCTGCTGTGATTTTTTTTATAATTGTGATAAAACATGCATAATGCAAAATTTATCATTTCACCTTTTTTTTTTTTTGCTTCACTATTTTAACTGATTTTCTGTGCAGATTTCTGAGTGTTCAGGTCAGTGGTACTAAGGACGTTCCCACTGGTGTGCCCACCCTGGTGCGTGTGTGTGGATGGAAGGTGGCATCCGTCCCCAGAATCCTTCCATCTTCCCAAACTGAAATCCCATCCCTGTTGAACCCTAACTCGCCATCTCACAGGCCCCGGCCATGTAACATTTTATAGGGAGAAAACAATCTCCATGAAAAGGAATACTATTAAATCCAAACCTCTAGGTTGCCCGCGCCGGCTGTCCCTGGGCCAGCAGGGCCATGGAGTCGTCTTCCTTTTCCATTCTTCTGCTTGCCAGGGGGCTCTGACCGCAGCCTCTTGCAGCTTGGGGTCCCTGGAGCAGCAGCGTCACTGCCAGCCCAAGGCTGGAGGTCAGGGAGGTTGAGAGCACTCTCACCTCCCCAAGGATCTCGCGAGACTCCTGGGAGAAGCCCTTGGTCCAACTGAAGACAGGTACTTGGGCAGACGGCTGCCGCTCCAGCCCCTGGAGGTGAGCAGGTGAGCCTGGCCACGCCTGCCCTCACTGCTGGCAGGATGTTCCAGCACGTCCACAGGCCAGGCTGGGCTGTATGGCTGAGACCAAGACAGGACTTGGCGCAGCTGGAACTTCTTGTCTTTCTCCCACGAGCTGAAATGTCACCTCCTCCGGGAGGCCTTCCTGACCTCCCAACCCAATATGCCCCAGCTCTGTCTGCTACTCTGTCTTAAATTGCCTGGGCATCCACCTCCTGAATCTGCCTTCTTTTTATTGTATTTTATTTATTTATTTGAGAGGTGGGGTTACAGATAGTGAGAGGGAGGTCTTCCATCTGCTGGTTCACTCCCCAAATGGCCACAACGGCCAGAGCTGTGCCCATCTGCAGCCAGAAGCTTCTTCCAGGTCTCCCACATGGGTTCAGGGGCCCATGCACTTGGGCCATCTTCCACTGCTTTCCCAGGCCATAGCAGAGAGCTGGATGGGAAGAGGAGCAGCTGGGACTAGAACTGGCACCCATATGGGATGCCGGTGCTGCAGGCAGAGATTAACCCACTAAGCCACAGTGCTGGCCCCGGTACTTCCTTCTTTACTTGTTCAGCATCCCTGCTCTCTGGCTGCCCCTCAATACCTAGCACAGGGCCTGGCGCACCCTGGGGAGGCAGTGCCTGCCTGAGGGATGAGCAGACAATGTCTGGGTGTCCCCAGGCTGCGACCTTGGCAGAGGGTGGGGGTTGAGTGAGGAGGTGACCTGCAGCAGGGTCACTTCACAGGTGACCATGTGAAGAGGGGAGAGCAGAGAGGCCCAACGACATTGTGAGGGGCGCAGGCTGCAGAGATGCAGCGGGGGGCGTCCACAGGACTCCAGAGAGCAGCCTGGGGGAATGGCAGTAGCATTGTCCAGAGGGGTCACCCAGCCTGACGGAGAGCAGAGCACAGTGTCCTGGGCTGGAGGCGGGGAAGCAGGGTGGGGACAGATCCGCCAGGAGCATCACCGAAGAGACTGGACGGGCAGAGGGTCGCTCAGGGGCAGGGCCAGTTCAGGGCTTGGCGGTTTGTGTTGGTTTGGGTTGTTTTGGCCAGAGCCTGTGCAGGGAGAGCGAGGGAAGTGTGGAGAGCGTGCATCCCCAGTGGAGACCCAGGGGAGGCATTCAGGGAGGAGGGGCTGGGCTGAGGAGGGGAGGGGCAGGGGACCGAGGAGAGTGACAAGGGCCTCCCCCATGGGGAAATGGCCCCAGAGGTCTCAGTGGCTCCCAAGGGCTGGGTGTCTTGCCACCTGACAGGGGCCCACCCAGCTCCAGTGCAGCTTTGCACTCCCTGGCCCCCAGGGCTGTTCCACCACAGCAGACGGCCCACCTGCTCAGCAGACACCAGCTAGGCAGCCCAGGCCCCGGGCAGACAGTACCCAGACTTCCTCAGGAGAGAGGGGTGAGCCAGCCGGCTGCGGCCGCTGTGACTAAATGTGCCCCGGGACACCAAGGCAGCTTCTCCCTGTGGTGCCCCAAGCCAGGGCTCTGAGGATGAGTCCGTGCTTGTCCTGCAGAGAGGAGAGGGAGCCAGAGATGCGAGGCAGCTGCAGAGCTGGGGCGGACCAGCAGGGGCCTGCCCATGGCCTTGCCGAGCGCTTCCCCATCTCCACTGCAAGCCCCGGGCCACTCGGGCCTCTCCCTGGTCTCCAGGCTGCAGGCACTCCCCTTTCCAGTCGGGCCTGTAAGACGGATCTTCCCGAAGCTCGCCTTCAAAGAGCCACTCTGTCCCCCATAGCCGCCACCATCCAGCCTGCACTTCCGCTTTCCCAGCATCGCCATGCGCTGCCCCCCTGCAGCCGGTTCTCAGCCCTCCTCAGGGGCCAGCCAGCCCCTGGGTCTCTCATGCCACCACTGTGCCTGTGCACTGCCCCTTCCTCCCTTCTGCCTGCTACAACAGTGCAGCTCTCGCTCACACAGCCCCTGCTGGGTCCTGGGAGACAACCTACGTGCCTACCCCTCACAGCAGCCCTAGGCGCTGAGCGCTCCTGTGATGATTTCTACTTTACAGCTGGGGAAACTGAGGCAGGGAGCCTCCTCGGGGTCAGAGGCCTGCCCTTGCCCACTGACTGCAGTGTGTTGGATGCAGGGCTCCAGCAGGCCTACCTGAAAAAAGGTGGGTGGGAGCGAAGGAGGAGGGGGCGGCTTCGCAGTGCCTGGGCACAGGCTCCAGGGAACAGCAGTAAGTCACGGGGCCCACCAGCCCTGTGCGCACAGGAGCCCCTGCCAGGATTCAAGCGCAAGAGCAACAGGCTGTGTGGACAGCTGGCTCTCTGGAGCCAGAATCTGCCTCCTCCTGCCAGGCATCTGATAAGGTTCTGCAGTGCTATCTTCCTGGGTGATCATTTGCTTCTTGCCCCAAGGTGTGTCTGCCCTAATGCACCCCAGTGTTTGGGGATGGGGGGGGGGGGAAGCGCTGGTCCTCCCCAATCCTGCTGGGAACCCACATGGCCCAAACCAGCCCTCGTGCAGTGCCGGAAGGGGGCCTGCCTGTAGTAGAGAAGCCGGCTGGGAACGGCCTGAGCTGAAAACAAAAGAAAATTAGCAATCAGCTCGCAGGGGCGGCAGCTTGCTGAGCACAAGGAAGCTGTTTTCGTGGAGTGAAAGGAAAAACACAGAAGCCAGCAAGCTGTCGGTGCTTCTCCTGGCCAGCCCCGCCCAGGGCTCCCGCAGCAGGGAAGGTCCCTGTCCGGGTGAGGCTTGCCTGCCTGCTCGCCCCCGAGGGCCGCTCTGGGGGCGTGGGCTGCAGGGCCGGGCCCCTGTGCTTGCACAGCTGTGAGCTCTGAGCGAGCAGGGCTGTTTTGGAAACTAACCCCAGACTTGGGAAGCCTGAACGAGGCGGCGCGGCTCCGGGTTTAGTGAAGCCCCAGATGGTGCCTCTCTTCAACCAGAACCTTCTCTCTCCTTCCCCCTGCCTCTCCCCTTCGAAAGGGATCAGACACTAAGCCAAGAAGCCCTGGCCCCCTTTCAAGGGCCAAGTCCCACCTGACTCCTAGGCTCCAGCCCAGCTGTTCTTGCGGGCTGTCTGAGCTTAAGGCCGGCCGAGGTGCTGAGCAGGTGTCTGCCAGTGAGTCACTGGAGGAAGCCAGGTGTGCCTTCGGGCTGGGCTCAAGCAGGGAGCTGGGCCTGCAGGAGGGGGCTCTGTCCCTAGCCCGTAGCCACCCGCACCTGCTAGATCTAAGGAGAGGGTACATCTTTCATCCTCCGCTGCCCCAAGGGTTGCATGTGGCCTCACAAAGACCAGGGACCAGGAACCCCACGGCCTCTGCCCTGGCCATGCTCCAGGGCAGCTGGGCAGTCCTTGCTGGGGGTGCCCCCAGGCTGCTCAGATGGGGTGCATAGGCTGGGCCTGAAAGGAGGGGCTGGCTGCAGACTCTGCCCAGGGGCTCAGAACCTGCCTGTTTGGGGAGGGTGGGCAGTTCTTTAAAAACTAAATGGGGAGGGAGTGGCCGGCCAGTCGATGAAGTGACACATCCGCAGGACTTGGTGGGGAATCCCCACGTGAACAGCCCGGCCGTAAAAGGACAGTTCTTGAGACCCTCAGAGAACACCGAACACAGGTGTTGGGTGATAGTACACAATGTTTAGTCATTTTGTTGGGCAAGAAAGTCGTGTTTATATTGGGGAAAGTCCTGGTCCCTTTTTGTTAGAAGCTCTTTATGGGTAAAAGGATCTGATGTTTGGATTTGCTTTTTTTTCCCCCCCTCCGGCTTTCTCTAGAAGGAAGGAGCAGGGTGCGGGGAGAGGGGAGAGGACCCACAGAACATGCAAGGCAGACAGACGATGAGCGCAGGCCTCGCTCTCCGCGAGGGACAGGCAGGGCCCAGCGCACGGTCTCTCCTCGGCGTGTATGAAGACTGGGGGCTGTGCAGAGAGGGGGCTGCGCCTTGCCAGTGCCAGAGGAGACCGCTGTTTGGCCCTCGGTTCCTCAGGGAAGCGGATTCAACCGTAAGCCTCAGCAGATTGCCTGGCTCGCCTCATAGAGGGCTCACGATGTGCCCAGCACTGGGTGTGACCCTCCTCTCCCAGGGACAAGGTGTGTGGGCCGTGTTCCAGGTGAGATCACTCAGTCCCACGCAGCTCGCAGGTGAGACGTGCCCCCGGGTCTCTGACCCGCTGCCGCCAGCCAATGTGTCCTTGGAGCACCCCGAGCACTTGCCGTGCCACCCTCTGTGATTGACAGCCTCCCTTCTCCGTCCTCCCCAGCTGTCGATGCTCAGCCGGCTCCTGAGCCTCATGAGGCCGTCATCCCTCGGGCAGTGCCTGGGCTCGGATCCTTTGCCACCCTGCCAGAAGCAACAGCCAACGACCGGTGCTGAGCTAGACCACAAGGTGAGCACCCAGCACCTGCCTGGCACCGCCCTCGCAAGCCACAGGGAAGGCAGGGCTGTCTGCCTTGTACAGCCTGCGGGTCCAGCGGCTGCCAGTCCTCCCAGGGCCCTGGGGCCATGCCAGGACAGAGACCAGCGGCTGCCTCCCTCCATGGAAGGGAGGTGCTCATCATCTCTCCAAGGCCTATCATTAGTGCCCTTGACCGTGCTGCTCACACGGGCGCCGGGGATGCCGTGTGCACAGGCGTGCAAGGGGAACACATGCCTGGCCCTGCGCGGTACCCTCTGCAGCCTGGCGTGGCTCTGTTGAGGGGACGGGGGAGCTGCAGTGCTGCAGTGTGCAGCCGGGTGGGGGATGGCAGCAGCCATGGAGGAGAGGGGCAGGGATGTGTAGAGATGGGAGGCCGCCATCCTGTTTGGTAGGACAGAGCTGGGCCTGGCCCCCTGTCGGCCTTCACCGTGCTTGTTCCTGAGGCCAAGTCCTTGGCTTTGCCCTGACTCTTCCTCATTGGTTTTCCAGACCTTGCCCAGCTTCCTTGAAAGCCATGCATTGGTGGAAATCAGGGGCAACAAGGAACCCCCCGTGGGCCTGGAGGTTGTGGGGTTTCAACCGGGAGGCCTGTGGGCCCCTGGGGGTGAATCTTAGAGCCAGGGTGGGGGGTGCATCTCAGTGAGGGCGTCTATCCCTAGAAACCCAAGGAGAGCAGTGCAGATAGAGATCTCCCTAATTTAGGAAGGTGGATGCTGACGCTCCAGAAGCCCAATCTTTGGGCATCACTGTGCAAATCAGATAAATGAATTAATTACTTAATGAACACACAGGGTCCATTAGGAAGATGGGATAGTCCCGGGGTGCACGCTCTTCTTCCGGAATGTGTCGGCAACGTTATCTTTGACATGTGCCTAATACTAGTCCCTTCCCAGGCTTCTTCCTCCCAGGAGAGTGTGCGCCGCTGCCACAGGCCCTTCTGCTCTGCCAAGGATCCCTCAGGAAACAGGAGCTGGTCCTGGAGGCTGGGCCAGCCCCAGGGTGGGGTCTTCGTGAGCCGGATGCAAGGGAGGGGCCGAGTAAGGGAGAAACAGAGAGGTCGTGTCTGGTCTGGCTGAGCCGGGAGCATGCCCCCGACCCCATCAGGCAGCCATGTGGCCTTTGCCAGGTTGGAGACTTCCCTTGGGCCCCGTGTGGTCCTGAGCCTGCCCCGAGGCAGGACATGTCTGGTCAGCAGCCTGGCTGGGGGGGGGGGGGGGCGCAGGGGCAGTGAGCGGCCGGGGTGTCCTTTATCCTGTCACACAGGTAGATGAGGACGCCTTTGACCCGGAAACACAGAGGCCAGCACGTCCCAGCAGAGTGTCCCAAAGATGTAGGGGATGCTGGCCTGGGAACAGAAGGGGTGGATCTCAGAATGTGCCCTTACCACAGCCAGAGACCACCTTAGAACCTGCTGGACCCCCTCCACTTCTGCCTCTGAATGAGCAGCGCTGCAGTCAAGGGCGGAGGAGGGAAGGAGAGGAGGAGGCAGGAGCAGTGGGCGGTCGGGAGGAAAGAGTGTGCAACACACACACACACACACACACACACAAGGCCTGGGCTGGGAGGAGCTAGGTGGGGCAGGTGCCTGGGCCCAGCTCCCACCTCAGCCCCAGCCGCCCGACTCCTCATTAGGCCTGAGCACGTTTCATCTTCAAAGAGGGGATCACCCTACTCACCAGCCAAAAAGAGCGGCCGGCGTCGCCCGCGCTGTTTTACGGGAGCGGTGGTCTGGGCTGTGGCTGAGCCTTTCATCCGTGGAGCTCAAAGTCTTGGCCTTTTTTTCCCCTCCGAGTACAGTGAGGAAACTGAGGCCAGGGCCTGGGGGAAGCGGCCACTCTCCCAAGCCTTGGGGCTGCTGGCGGGGGCCATCTGCCTTTTGATGCCTCCCATCCCCCTGCCCTGCCCCCTCCTGTCTGGGAGATTTCCTGCCCTAAACTGCGGGTCACAGCCCTCCTCCAGGCCTGCAAATAAACACTTCTGCCCAGCTTCTCTCCCCTGTCTCCCCACCTCCTCTCCCCGCCCCAGGCCCTGGTCCAGGCACCGCCCTCCCTCTGGGAAGTGGCTGGGAGAGCGGCTCCCTGGTGCCCAGGACGTGATGTGACTTCATTGGCTCCCTTTACTTGTCTGGCTATGTGGCGAGACCACGGGTACAGCTGGTGCCTCGCACTGTTGCATCCTATTTTTGCTGCTAGATGAATGAATGAATGAATTGTATCCTCCTTCCTTTCCCTCTCCAATCTGTCTTCTTCCACCCTGTTCTGGCCATCCACTCTGGCCCCCATTCTGGAAACCTCCCTCCCTGTGCACGCCACCTGACCAGTCTCCCCATGAGGTTGCAAGAGTTTATGGCCTAGGCTTCTGTCGGAGGCCCCCAACTTCAGAAGTGTTACCTACATAATGAGAGAACCAATCACGCACATTGTTTCTAATTATAAGCTAGTGAGGCTCCCGCCTGGGAAAGCTAACCTCCAAGTACTTTGACAAAAGAAGCAACATGCTCCTACAGCAACACTGCCTGGAGGGGGCGGGGAAGTGGGGGGGGGGGTAGGGGGGAGCAGGAGGGGAGGCAGTGCGGGCGTGGGTTCCTGTGCTGTCTGTCTCAGCGTGGTCAAAGTCACTGAGTGAATCATGGCCAGGACTGTATGGAACATAAGAGCGCCTATGGAACGTCCTCTTAGACAAAACCATGATAATGGCGTTGGCGTTTTAAAGTGCTGAGCCCTTGGCAGTTCTAGGGGGTCGTCCTGTGCTGGCTTGCTTGTAGCTAGGCTGTCCGGAGAAGAAGGAACGTGTAGGTGGGAGTGATGCGTGAGGTCTGGTCCAGCCCAGGGAGAGGCAGGTGCACTGTTTGCAGAGGAGCTGTGGGAGGGAGGATGTTTTCATACAGGAGAGTCTGATGCGCTGAGATTTGGCTTCCAAGAGCTTGCCTTTGGCCCCTGGATCCCAGTTCTGCAAGAGGCAAGCGCCTTCCCAGGCTTGGACTGGGGGACACCATCCTTCTGGCCCCAGGCAGACAAACATTGCGTAACCTGATTCAGTTTGCCACTGTCTCCTCAGAGCTACCAGCTCAGCCCTCCAACCCGGAGCCAGAGGTTTCCTGGGCCATTTGCTTTTCTTTTAGCTGACTCACAGAAGCCTTGTGGGGCCAGATTTTGTCTAGCTGTGTTCTGTCCAAGGCCGGGGTCACGGTTCATTCACCTTTATTGAAATTATTGACATTTTGGTCCAGTTAAACGTGCCGTTGCCCATCCTGGCCCTGTTTGCCACTCTGGCCTGTTATTTCTTGCTTTGCCTCGTGCCTTTGGCTACGCAGATGCCTTGTCTAGCCATGGGATTTTTTTCCCTCTTAGAGTTTGGGGCAGTATATGGAAACGGGATCTTTGGGGCACCATGGAAGTTTTTGCCCAGATAGTTAAATCTGCGGCTGTGACGGGACCCATAGGCAGGCACCAGTAGACTTTCTCCATGCACAGCATCCAGGTCCCCGGGATCTAGGCTCCTGAGCCCGAATGTGGCTCTTCCGTCACACAAGCACGCCTGTGAAGGGTTGATTTTCCCGGGGGTTGGGCGATGCTAGGATAAAGGGCACACAGCCGTGCGGCCACCTTGAAGCTCACCCTGGGTGTTTGTGCAGCTCCCCGCCGAGGGTATGCGTGCGTGAGCACGTGGTGGTGTGTACCTCCTGTGTGTCTGCGCGGTGTGCCATTGGTGTTGAGAGAGTTGGCCAACAAGTTTTACTGCTTTTGCGCTGGCTGCGGCTCCTGCAGACTGCAGCTGTCTGTCCCTGTGGCTGGTGACCCTGCCAAGAGCCGCCTTAATGGGAGGTTGTGGCGGGGAGAGGCCTGTCTCCCTGCAGGGGTGGGGCAGGGAGGGTGCTGCTGCCCTGTGGCCCTGCTGTCCTTGCTTCTGACCTCTCTCTCTCGATGGCACTCTCACCCAGCAAGGGCCCATGGGCCCTTGCCCTGTGTGTTACCCTGAAAGACAAGTAGAGCCTGGAGCCTCCGGGGCCCCCTCCCCACCAGTCTCTGTCTTTTCTCCTGCGAGTGCCAGTTCTTTCCCTCCTGCCCTTCACGGTGCACTGTAGGGTGAGCCCAGGCCAACATTAGGAGGGCTGCCAGGAAGCAGACTGGCTTGGAGGAGGGGAAAGGAGGTGGTCCCTCCCCCAGCTAGTCTGTGGTTGGCTGTGTCTGACTTCTGCCAGCATGATGAGCAGTGGACATCTCCAGACATAAACCTCAAAGAGAGGGCGCTGGCCTCTAGGAAGCCCTCCTGAAACGGAGCAGGGAGACCTCTGCAGATCTGGGAAGCAGCCAGTTTTCTCTGAACACGCCAAGGCCGTGCGAGGTCGTGGCCCAGGCCAGCTTTGCTGAGGTCCCAGGCATTCCAGCTGCCTTGCCAGTGCATGAGCAGGGCTCGAAGTGACAGAGCTGAGCCGGGGAGGGCAGGCTGGTGCAAGCCCAGCTGGCTTGAGGCCTTGGCAGGATCTGGGCCTGCTGTGTGCCCTGCCCTACCTGGGCCCAGTCCTCCTGGGGTCCCCAGCTTAGCCTCTAGCAGCATGATTCTGTGAACGGTCTTCCTACCATCCTGATCGAGGGAGAAATAGATCCTGGCTCAAACTTTGCCATCCACAGAGCCCTGCCTGATCCACACGGCTTTAGCCCTGCAATTCCAGTCCCACTTTCTGAACCCCGGCAATGCGTGTCTTCCCCAGAAACCCCCTTACACTCAGCTTCCTCAAAGCAAGGCACACATTGCTTCACCCACCTGAGCCGAGTCACCTGCGACGGCCGGGCCAGAGCTTCTCAGCCGTGTCCCCGCGGCTGCCATTGAAATGCCTGAGCCTGAGCAGGTGCAGCCTGCCAGGAGGGACCCTTCCCCCGCCTCCCCTGCACCAAGCCCGCCTCTCTCCCTCTTCTCCCTCCCAGGCCGGAGCCAGCCCCAAGTGGGTGAGGGGCAGGGCTTCCTACGTC